ATTTATTGCCCTATTTTTCCAAATTTTTCTAGGGTGGTTCACATAACTAAACTTACCATTTTGCCTTGCTGATTTTTTCTGTTGAATCCTATGATTTTAGGTGCATGCTGATCAAGAGTTGGCCACTAGAATCTCCAACAAAAGGCCATTTACTATTTGTTTTTTATTTTAGAAGTTTTATTGCCCTATTTTCCCAAACATTTCTTGGGTGGTTCACATAACTAGACTTACCATTTTGCCTTTCTCGATTTTTTCTATTGAATCCTATGATTTTAGGTGCATGTGGACCAAGAGTTGTCCCACTCGGAAACTCCAAAAAAAGGCCGTTTACTTTTTCTTTTTTATTTTTGAAGTTTTATTGCCCTATCCTTCCAACCTTTTCCGGGTGGTTCACATAGCTAGACTTAGCAATTTCCCTTGCTGATTTTTTCTGTTGAATCCTATGATTTTAGGTTCATGCTGACCAAGTGTTGCCCCATTGGAAACTCCAAAAAAATGTCGTGTACTATTTCTTTTTTATTTTTGAAGTTTTATTGCCCTATTTTTCCAAACTTTTCTAGGGTGGTTCACATAGCTAGACTTACCAGTTTGCCTTGCTGATTTTTTCTGTTGAATCCTATGAGTTTAGGTGCATGTGGACCAAGAGTCGCCCAACTGGAAACTCCAAAAAAAGGTTGTTTATCATTTCTTTTTTATTTTTGAAGTTTTATTGCCATATTTTTCCAAAAATTTCTGGGGTGGTTCACATAGCTAGACTTAGCATTTTGTCTTGCTGATTTTTTCTGTTGAATCTTATGAATTTAGGTGCATGCTCGACAAAGAGTTTTCCCACTAGAAACTCCAAAAAGGCCGTTTACTAATTTTTTTAAGTTTTATTGCTCTATTTTTCCAAACTTTTCAAGCGTGGTTCACATAGCTAGACTTAACATTTTTGCCTTGCTGATTTTTTCTGTTGTAACGTATGATTTTAGGTGCATGCTGACCAAGAGTTGTCCCACTTGGAAACTCCAAAAAAAGGACCTATTTCTTTTTTATTTTTGAATTTTATTGCCCTATTTTTCCAAACTTTTCTATGGTGGTTCACATAGCTAGACTTAGCATTTTTCCTTTCTGATTTTTTCTGTTGAATCCTATGATTTTTAGGTGCATGCCGACCAAGAGTTGCCGCACTCCATTGGTAACTTAAAAAAATGTCGTTTACTATTTTGTTTTTTATTTTTCAAGTTTTATTGCCCTATTTTTCCAAACTTTTCTAGCGTGGTTCACATAGCTAGACTTAGTTTTTTGTCTTGCATATTTTTTCGTTTGAATCTTATAATTTTAGGTGCATGCTCGATCAAGAGTTGCCCCATTGGAAACTCCAAAAAAGGCCGTTTACTTTTTTTATTTTATTTTTGAAGTTTTATTGCACTATTTTTCCAAACTTTTCTGGGGTGGTTCACATAGCTAGACTTAACATTTTGACTTGCTGATTTTTTCTGTTGAATCCTATGATTTTAGGTGCGTGGTGACCAAGAGTTGCCCCACTGGAAACTCCAAAAAAGGCCGTTTACTATTTCTTTTTTATTTTTGAAGTTTTATTGCCCTATTTTTCCAAATTTTTCTAGGGTGGTTCACATAGCTAGACTTAGCATTTTGCCTTGCTGATTTTTTATGTTGAATCCTATCATTTTAGGTGCGTGCTGACCAAGAGTTGCCCCACTGGAAGTTCCAAAAAAAGGCCATTTACATTTTCTTTTTTATTTTTCAAGTTTTATTGCCCTATTCTTCCAAATTTTTCCGGGGTGGTTCACATAGCTAGACTTAGCATTTTCCCTTGCTGATTTTTTCTGTTGAATCCTATGATTTTAGGTGCATGCTGACCAAGTGTTGCCCCATTGGAAACTCCAAAAAATGACCGTTTACTATTTCTTTTTTATTTTTGAAGTTTTATTCCCCTATTCTTCTAAACATTTCGGGGTGACTCACATAGCTAGACTTAGCATTTTGCCTAGCTAATTTTTTCTACTGAATCCTATGATTTTAGGTGCATGCTCGACCAAGGGTTGACCACTGGAAACACCAACAAAAGGCCGCTTACTATTTGTTTTTTATTTTAGAAATTTATTGCCCTATTTTTCCAAATTTTTCTAGGGTGGTTCACATGACTAAACTTACCATTTTGCCTTGCTGATTTTTTCTGTTGAATCCTATGATTTTAGGTGCATTTTGACGGAGAGTTGCCCCACCAGAAACTCCAAAAAAAGGTCGTTTACTATTTCTTTTTTTTTTAAGTTTTATTTCCCTATTTTTCCAAACTTTTCTAGGATGGTTCACATAACTAGACTTAGCATTTTGCCTTGCTAATTTTTTCTGTTGAATCCTATGATTTTAGGTGCATGCTGACCAAGAGTTGCCCCACTAGAAACTCCAAAAAAAGGTCGTTTACTATTTCTTTTTTATTTTTGAAGTTTTATTGCCCTATTTTTGGAAACTTTTCTGGGGTGGTTCACATAGCTAGACTTAGCATTTTGCCTTGCTGATTTTTTCTATTGAATCTTATGATTTTAGGTGCATGCTGAACAAGAGTTTTCCCACTGGAAACTCCAAAAAAAGGCCGTTTACTATTTCTTTTTTATTTTTGAAGTTTTATTGCTTTATTTTTCCAAACTTTTCTGGGGTGGTTTACATAGCTAGACTTAGCATTTTGCCTTGCTGATTTTTTCTGTTGAATCCTATGATTTTTGGTGCGTGCTGACCAAGAGTTGGGCCACTGGAAACTCCAAAAAAAGTGCGTACTGAATTTTTCTCAAGAGTTATTCAAGAGTTACTAAAGATTTGTTGAAGAGTTACTAAAAGTTACTGAAGAGTTACTGAAAAGTTACAAAGAGTTACTGAAGAGTTACTAAAAGATACTAAAAGTTACTAAGATTTACTAAAAGTACTTAAGAGTTACTAATAGTTACTAAAAGTACTTAAGAGTTACTAAGAGTTACAAAAGTGTTACTAAAAGTTACTGAAGAGTTACTAAGAGTTACTAAATATTTACTGAAGAGTTACTAAGAGTTACTAAAGAGTTACTGAAAAGTTACCACAAGTTACTAAAGAGTTACTAAAAGTTAATAAGAGTTACTAAAAGGTTACTAAAGAGTTTCAAAAGAGCTGCTAAAGAATTACTGAAGAGTTGCTAAGAGTTACTAAAGAATTACTAAGACTTACTGAAATGTTACTAAAGAGTTACTAAATGTTACTAAAAGTTACTAAGAGTTACTTAGAGTTACTGAAGAGTTACTAAGAGTTACTGAAGAATTACTGAAGAGTTACTAAGAGTTATTGAAGAGTTACTCAAAAGTTGCTAAAAGTTACTAAAGAGTTACTGAAGAGTTACTAAAAGTTACTAAGAGTTATTAAAAGGTTACTAAAGAGTTACTGAAGAGCTGCTAAAGAATTACTAAAAAGTTACTAAGAGTTACTAAATAGTTACTAAGAGTTACTAAAGAATTACTAAGAGTTACTGAAGAGTTACTAAAAGTTACTGAAGAGTTACTATTAGTTACTGAAGAGTTACTAAAAGTTACTAAGAGTTACTTAAAAGTTACTAAGAGTTACTGAAGAGTTTCTGAAGAGTTACTTAAAAGTTGCTAAGAGTTACTGAAGAGTTACTAAGAGTTACTGAAGAGTTAGTAAAAGTTACTGAAGAGTTACTAAGAGTTACTAAAGAGTTACTAAAATTTACTAAGAGTTACTAAAGAGTTACTGAAGAGTTACTGAAGAATTACTTAGAGTTACTGAAGAGTTACTGAAAATTTACTAAAGGTTACTAAAAGTTACTAAGAGTTATTAAAAGGTTACTAAAGAGTTACTGAAGAGCTCCTAAAGAGTTACTGAATAGTTACTAAGAGTTACTGAAGAATTACTAAAGATTTACTAAGAGTTACTGAAAGTTACTAAGAGTTAGTAAAGAGTTACTGAAGAGTTATTAAAAGTTACTAAGAGTTACTAAAGAGTTACTGAAGAGTTACTGAAGAATTACTAAGAGTTACTGAAGAGTTACTGAAAAATTACTAAATGTTACTAAGAGTTACTAAGAGTTAATAAAAGGTTACTAAATAGTTAGTGAAGAGCTGCTAAAGAGTTACTGAATAGTTACTAAGAGTTACTAAAGATTTACTAAGAGTTACTGAAGAGTTACTAAAACTTACTAAGAGTTACTAAAGAGTTACTGAAAAGTTACTTAAAGTTGCTAAAGAGTTACTAACAGTTACTGAAGAGTTACTAAAAGTTACTAAGAGTTACTCAAGAGTTACTTAAGAGTTACTAAGAGTTACTTAAGAGTTACTTAATAGTTACTACGAGCTATTGAAGAGTTAATGAAAAGTTACTAAAAGTTACTCAAGGGTTACTAAGAGTTACTTAAGAGTTACTAAGAGTTACTTAAGAGTTACTAAGAGTTACTAAGAGTTACTAAGAGTTACTTAAGAGTTACTAAGAGTTAATGAAGTGTTACTAAAGAGTTACTAAGAGTTATTGAAGAGTTACTGAAAAGTTACTAAAAGTTACTGAAAAGTTACTAAGATTTACTTAAGAGTTACTAAAAGTTACTAAGAGTCACTAAAAGTACTGAAGAGTTACTAAAGTGTTACTAAAAGTTGCTAAAAGTTACTAAAAGTACTGAAGAGTTACTAAGAGTTACTAAAGTGTTACTAAAAGTTACTAAAGAGTTACTAAAGAATTACTGAAAAGATACTAAAAGTTACTGAAGATTTACTAATAGTTACTGAAGAGTTACTAAGAGTTACTGAAGAGTTTCTAAAAGTTACTAAAAGTTATTGATAGTTACTGATAGTTACTGAAGAGTTACTGATAGTTACTGAAGAGTTACTCAGAGTTACTAATAGTTACTGAAGAGTTACTAAAAGTTACTGAAGAGTTACTATGAGTTACTAAAAGTTACTAATAGTTACCAAGAGTTTCTAAAGAGTTACTAAGAGTTACTAAAGATTTACTAAAGAGTTTCTTAGAGTTACTGACGAGTGACGAAGAGTTAGTGAAGAGTTACTAAAGTTACTAAGAGTTACTATAAAGTTACCAATGAGTTACTAAGGGTTACTGAAGAGTTACTAGGAGTTACTGAAGAGTTACTAAGAGTTACTAAGAGTTACTCAAGAGTTAGTGAAAAGTTACTAAGAATGCTGAAGAGTTATTGAAGAGTTACTAAGAGTTACTCAAGTGTTACTAACAGTTACTAAGAGTTACTAAAATTTACTAAGAGTTATTAAAGATTTACTAAGAGTTACTGTAGAGTTACTAAGATTTACTAAAAGTTGCTAAGAGTTACTGAAAAGTTATTAAAAGTTACTGAAGAGTTACAAAGAGTTACTGAAGAGTTACTAAAGTTACTAAAAGTTACTAAAAGGTTACTATAAAGTTACTAAAGAGTTACTAAGATTTACTGTAGAGTTACTAAGATTTACTAAAAGTTACTAAAACTTACTAAGAGTTACTAAAGAGTTAGTGAAAAGTTACTAAGAATGCTGAAGAGTTATTGAAGAGTTACTAAGAGTTACTCAAGTGTTACTCAAAGTTACTAAGAGTTACTAAAATTTACTAAGAGTTATTAAAGATTTACTAAGAGTTACTGTAGAGTTACTAAGATTTACTAAAAGTTGCTAAGAGTTACTGAAAAGTTATTAAAAGTTACTGAAGAGTTACAAAGAGTTACTGAAGAGTTACTAAAGTTACTAAAAGTTACTATAAAGTTACTAAAGAGTTACTAAGACTTACTGAAGAGTTACTAAGAGTTACTGAAGAGTTACTAAAAGTTACTAAGAGTTACTAAAGAGTTAGTGAAAAGTTACTAAAGAGTTAGTGAAAAGTTACTAAGAGTGCTGAAGAGTTATTGAAGAGTTACTAAGACTTATTGAAGAGTTACTTAGAGTTACTAAAGAGTTACTAAAATTTACTAAGAGTTACTGAAGAGTTACTAAAAGTTACTAACAATTACTAAAGAGTTGCTGAAAAGTTACTGAAGAGTTACTAGAAGTTACTGAAGAGTTAGTAAAAGTTACTAGGAGTTACTAAAGAGTTACTAAGAGTTACTAAGAGTTACTCAGAGTTACTAAAATTTAGTAAGAGTTATTAAAGAGTTACTAAGATTTACTGTAGAGTTACTAAGATTTACTAAAAGTTACTAAAACTTACTAAGAGTTACTAAAGAGTTAGTGAAAAGTTACTACGAATGCTGAAGAGTTATTGAAGAGTTACTAAGAGTTACTAAGAGTTTCTCAAGTGTTACTAAAAGTTACTAAGAGTTACTAAAATTTACTAAGAGTTATTAAAGATTTACTAAGAGTTACTGTAGAGTTACTAAGATTTACTAAAAGTTGCTAAGAGTTACTGAAAAGTTATTAAAAGTTACTGAAGAGTTACAAAGAGTTACTGAAGAGTTACTAAAGTTACTAAAAGTTACTAAGAGTTACTATAAAGTTACTAAAGAGTTACTAAGACTTACTGAAGAGTTACAAAGAGTTACTGAAGAGTTACTAAAAGTTAGTAAGAGTTACTAAACAGTTAGTGAAAAGTTACTAAAGAGTTAGTGAAAAGTTACTAAGAGTGCTGAAGAGTTATTGAAGAGTTACTAAGACTTATTGAAGAGTTACTTAGAGTTACTAAAGAGTTACTAAGATTTACTAAGAGTTACTGAAGAGTTACTAAAAGTTACTAACAATTACTAAAGAGTTGCTGAAAAGTTACTGTAGAGTTACTAGAAGTTACTGAAGAGTTAGTAAAAGTTACTAGGAGTTACTAAAGAGTTACTAAGAGTTACTAAGAGTTACTCAGAGTTACTAAAATTTAGTAAGAGTTATTAAAGAGTTACTAAGATTTACTGTAGAGTTACTAAGATTTACTAAAAGTTACTAAAACTTACTAAGAGTTACTAAAGAGTTAGTGAAAAGTTACTAAGAATGCTGAAGAGTTATTGAAGAGTTACTAAGAGTTACTCAAGTGTTACTCAAAGTTACTAAGAGTTACTAAAATTTACTAAGAGTTATTAAAGAGGTACTAAGAGTTACGGTAGAGTTACTAAGATTTACTAAAAGTTGCTAAGAGTTACTGAAAAGTTATTAAAAGTTACTGAAGAGTTACGAAGAGTTACTGAAGAGTTACTAAAGTTACTAAAAGTTACTAAGAGTTACTAAAGAGTTACTAAAGAGTTACTAAGACTTACTGAAGAGTTACTAAGAGTTACTGAAGAGTTACTAAAAGTTACTAAGATTTACTAAAGAGTTAGTGAAAAGTTACTAAAGAGTTAGTGAAAAGTTACTAAGAGTGTTGAAGAGTTATTGAAGAGTTACTAAGACTTATTGAAGAGTTACTTAGTGTTACTAAAGAGTTACTAAGATTTACTAAGAGTTACTGAAGAGTTACTAAAAGTTACTAACAATTACTAAAGAGTTGCTGAAAAGTTACTGAAGAGTTACTAGAAGTTACTGAAGAGTTAGTAAAAGTTACTAGGAGTTACTAAAGAGTTACTAAGAGTTATTGAAGAGTTACTTAGAGTTACTAAGAGTTACTAAGAGTTGCTGAAGAGTTACTAAAACTTACTAAGAGTTACTAAAGAGTTACTAAGATTTACTAAAGAGTTACTGAAAAGTTACTAAAAATTACTGAAGAGTTACTAAAAGTTACTCAGAGTTAATAAAATTTAGTAAGATTTATTAAAGAGTTACTAAGAGTTACTGTAGAGTTACTAAGATTTACTAAAAATTACTAAGAGTTACTGAAAAGTTACTAAAAATTTATTGAAGAGTTACTAAAGTTACTAAGAGTTACTATCAAGTTACTAAAGAGTTACTAAGAGTTATTGAAGAGTTACAAAGAGTTACTGAAGAGTTACTAAAAGTTACTAAAGAGTTACTGAAGAGTAAATAAGAGTTACTAAGTGTTACTGAAGAGTTACTAAGACTTACTGAAGAGTTACTAAGAGTTACTGAAAAGTTATTGAAGAGTTACTAAGAGTTACTTAGAGTTACTGAAGATTTACTAAGAGTTACTAAAGAGTTACTAAAAGTTACTGAAGAGTTACTAAGAGTTACTAAAGAGTTACTAAAAGTTACTGAAGAGTTATTAAAAGTTACTAAGTTTTACTAAAGAGTTAGTGAAAAGTTACTAAAAGTTATTGAAGAGTTACGAAGAGTTATTGAAGAGTTACTAAAGAGTTATAAAAGCTACTAAAGAGTTACTAAAAGTTATTGAAGAGTTACTAAATAGTTATTAAGAATTACTGAAGAGTTACTGAAGAGTTACTGAAGAGTGACTAAGAGTTACTGAAGAGATACTAAAAGCTACTAAAGAGTTGCTCAACAGTGACTAAGAGTTACTGAAATGTTATTAAAAGTTACTGAAGAGTTACTAAGAGTTACTGAAAAGTTACTAAAGAGTTACTAAGAGTTACTGAAGAATTACTGAAGAGTTACTAAGAGTTACTGAAGTGTTACTAAAAAGTTACTAAAGAGTTATTAAGAGTTATTGAAAAGTTACTGAAGAGTTAATAAAAGTTACAAAGAGTTACTGATAGTTACTGAAGAGTTACTAAAGAGTTACTGAAGAGTTACTAAAAGTTAATAAGAGTTATTGAAGAGTTACTTAAGAGTGGCTAAGAGTTATATAAAAGTTACTAAATAGTTACTAAAAGCTACTAAAGAGTTACTAAAGAGTGACTAGGAGTTAATGAAGAGTTACTGAAGTGTTACTAAAAATTACTGAAAAGTTACTGAAAGTTACTGAAGAGTTACTGAAGAGTGACTAAGAGTTACTGAAGAGTTACTAAACAATTACTAAAAGCTACTAAAGAGTTGCTCAGGAGTGGCTAAGAGTTACTAAAATGTTACTAAAAGTTACTGAAGAGTTACTAAGAGTTACTGAAAAGTTACTAAAGAGTTACTAAAAGCTACTAAAGAGTTACTCAGGAGTGACTAAGAGTTACTAAAATGTTACTAAAAGTTACTAAAGAGTTACTAAGAGTTACTGAAAAGTTACTAAAAGTTACTGAAGAGTTACTGAAAAATTACTAAATGTTTCTAAAAGTTACTAAGAGTTAATAAAAGGTTACTAAAGAGTTACTGAAGAGCTGCTAAAGAGTTACTGAATAGTTACTAAGAGTTGCTGAAGAGTTACTAAAGATTTACTAAGAGTTACTGAAGAGTTACTAAAACTTACTAAAACTTACTAAGAGTTACTAAAGAGTTACTGAAAAGTTACTTAAAGTTGCTAAAGAGTTACTAACAGTTACTGAAGAGTTACTAAAAGTTACTAAGAGTTACTCAAGAGTTACTAAAGAGTTACTAAGAGTTACTTAAGAGTTACTACGAGTTATTGAAGAGTTACCGAAAAGTTACTAAAAGTTACTCAAGGGTTACTAAGAGTTACTTAAGAGTTACTAAGATTTACTTAAGAGTTACTAAAAGTTACTAAGAGTTACTTAAGAGTTACTAAGAGTTAATGAAGTGTTACTAAAGAGTTACTAAGAGTTATTGAAGAGTTACTAAAAGTTACTGAAAAGTTACTAAGATTTACTTAAGAGTTACTAAAAGTTACTAAGAGTCACTAAAAGTACTGAAGAGTTACTAAAGTGTTACTAAAAGTTGCTAAAAGTTACTAAAAGTACTGAAGAGTTACTAAGAGTTACTAAAGTGTTACTAAAAGTTACTGAAGAGTTACTAAAGAATTACTGAAGATTTACTAATAGTTAATGAAGAGTTACTGAAGAGTTTCTAAAAGTTATTGAAGAGTTACTGAAGAGTTACTAAATGTTACGGAAGAGTTACTAAGAGTTACTAAAAGTTACTAAAAGTTACCAAGAGTTACTCAAGAGTTACTAAAAGTTACTAAGAGTTACACAAGAGTTTCTAAAGAGTTACTAAGAGTCACTGAAGAGTTATTAAGAGTTACTGAAGAGTTACTATAAATTACTAACGATTTATTGAAGAGTTACTAAGAGTTACTAAAAGTTACTAAAGTGTTACTGAAGAGTTACTGAAGAGTTACTAAGAGTTACTAAATATTTACTGAAGAGTTACTAAGAGTTAATAAAGAGTTACTAAAAAGTTACTAGGAGTTACTAGGAGTTACTAAGAGTTACTAAGAGTTATTGAAGAGTTACTTAGAGTTACTAAGAGTTACTAAGAGTTGCTGAAGAGTTACTAAAACTTACTAAGAGTTACTAAAGAGTTACTAAGAGTTACTAAAGAGTTACTGAAAAGTTACTAAAAATTACTGAAGAGTTACTAAAAGTTACTCAGAGTTAATAAAATTTAGTAAGAGTTATTAAAGAGTTAAAGAGTTACTAAGAGTTACTGTAGAGTTACTAAGATTTACTAAAAATTACTAAGAGTTACTGAAAAGTTACTGAAGAGTTACTAAAGTTACTAAGAGTTACTATCAAGTTACTAAAGAGTTACTAAGAGTTATTGAAGAGTTACAAAGAGTTACTGAAGAGTTACTAAAAGTTACTAAAGAGTTATTGAAGAGTAAATAAGAGTTACTAAGTGTTACTGAAGAGTTACTAAGACTTACTGAAGAGTTACTAAGAGTTACTGAAAAGTTATTGAAAAGTTACTAAGAGTTACTTAGAGTTACTGAAGAGTTACTAAGAGTTACTAAAGAGTTACTAAAAGTTACTGAAGAGTTACTAAGAGTTACTAAAGAGTTACTAAAAGTTACTGAAGAGTTATTAAAAGTTACTAAGATTTACTAAGGAGTTAGTGAAAAGTTACTAAAAGTTATTGAAGAGTTACGAAGAGTTATTGAAGAGTTACTAAAGAGTTATTAAAAGCTACTAAAGAGTTACTAAATGTTATTGAAGAGTTACTAAATAGTTATTAAGAATTACTGAAGAGTTACTGAAGAGTGACTAAGAGTTACTGAAGAGTTACTAAAGAGTTACTAAAAACTACTAAAGAGTTGCTCAACAGTGACTAAGAGTTACTGAAATGTTATTAAAAGTTACTGAAGAGTTACTAAGAGTTACTGAAAAGTTACTGAAGAGTTACTAAGAGTTACTGAAGAATTACTGAAGAGTTACTAAGTGTTACTGAAGAGTTACTAAAAGTTACTAAGAGTTACTAAAGAGTTAGTGAAAAGTTACTAAAGAGTTAGTGAAAAGTTACTAAGAGTGCTGAAGAGTTATTGAAGAGTTACTAAGACTTATTGAAGAGTTACTTAGAGTTACTAAAGAGTTACTAAGATTTACTAAGAGTTACTGAAGAGTTACTAAAAGTTACTAACAATTACTAAAGAGTTGCTGAAAAGTTACTAGAAGTTACTGAAGAGTTAGTAAAAGTTACTAGGAGTTACTAAAGAGTTACTAAGAGTTACTAAGAGTTATTGAAGAGTTACTTAGAGTTACTAAGAGTTACTAAGAGTTGCTGAAGAGTTACTAAAACTTACTAAGAGTTACTAAAGAGTTACTAAAGAGTTACTGAAAAGTTACTAAAAATTACTGAAGAGTTACTAAAAGTTACTCAGAGTTAATAAAATTTAGTAAGAGTTATTAAAGAGTTACTAAGAGTTACTGTAGAGTTACTAAGATTTACTAAAAATTACTAAGAGTTACTGAAAAGTTACTAAAAAGTTACTGAAGAGTTACTAAAGTTACTAAGAGTTACTATCAAGTTACTAAAGAGTTACTAAGAGTTATTGAAGAGTTACAAAGAGTTACTGAAGAGTTACTAAAAGTTACTAAAGAGTTACTGAAGAGTAAATAAGAGTTACTAAGTGTTACTGAAGAGTTACTAAGACTTACTGAAGAGTTACTAAGAGTTACTGAAAAGTTATTGAAGCGTTACTAAGAGTTACTTAGAGTTACTGAAGAGTTACTAAGAGTTACTAAAGAGTTACTAAAAGTTACTGAAGAGTTACTAAAGAGTTACTAAAAGTTACTGAAGAGTTATTAAAAGTTACTAAGATTTACTAAAGAGTTAGTGAAAAGTTACTAAAAGTTATTGAAGAGTTACGAAGAGTTATTGAAGAGTTACTAAAGAGTTATTAAAAGCTACTAAAGAGTTACTAAAAGTTATTGAAGAGTTACTAAATAGTTATTAAGAATTACTGAAGAGTTACTGAAGAGTGACTAAGAGTTACTGAAGAGTTACTAAAGAGTTACTAAAGAGTTGCTCAACAGTGACTAAGAGTTACTGAAGTGTTATTAAAAGTTACTGAAGAGTTACTAAGAGTTAATGAAATGTTACTGAAGAGTTACTGAAGAATTACTGAAGAGTTACTAAGAGTTACTGAAGTGTTACTAAAAAATTACTAAAGAGTTATTAAGAGTTATTGAAAAGTTACTGAAGAGTTAATAAAAGTTACTAAAGAGTTACTGAAGAGTTACTAAAAGTTAATAAGAGTTACTTAAGAGTGACTAAGAGTTATTGAAAAAGTACTAAATAGTTACTAAAAGCTACTAAAAAGTTACTAAAGAGTGTCTAAGAGTTACTGAAAAGTTACTGCAGTGTTACTAAAAATTACTGAAGAGTTACTGAAAAGTTACTGAAAGTTACTGAAGAGTTACTGAAGAGTGACTAAGAGTTACTGAAGAGTTACTAAACAATTACTAAAAGCTACTAAAGAGTTGCTCAGGAGTGGCTAAGAGTTACTAAAAGTTACTGAAGAGTTACTAAGAGTTACTGAAAAGTTACTAAAGAGTTACTAAAAGCTACTAAAGTGTTGCTCAGGAGTGACTAAGAGTTACTAAAATGTTACTAAAAGGTACTGAAGAGTTACTAAGAGTTACTGAAAAGTTACTGAAGAGTTACAGAAGAGTTACTAAGAGTTACTAAAGAATTACTTAAGAGTAACTAAGAGTTACTGAAGTGTTACTAAATAGTTACTTAAGAGTTATTAAGAGTTATTGAAAAGTTATTGAAGAGTTAATAAAAGTTACAAAGAGTTACTGATAGTTACTGAAGAGTTACTAAGAGTTACTATAGTGTTAATGAAGAGTTACTAAAAGTTAATAAGAGTTATTGAAGAGTTACTAAGAGTTACTAAAGGGTGACTGAACAGTTATGTTAGAATCGCGCAGCGGAATGTTCGCGTGGTCGGACAAAAACCAAGAGGTGGGGTGAATTGGTTTCTTAATAAAAAATAGGTTTTCAAAATTTTCCCCAAATTTTACCGATTAAAAACTGTGTAAAAGTAAATAGAGAAAGGGATAGAAATCTTACACAGGAGATTTATACTGGTTCGGATCAAAAGACCCTATGTCCAGTTGCTAATCACTCAAACAGAGGATTAACGCTGTCACTATGATCAAAGTTGTTACAAACAAATTACAATGAAAAGATAAAGATAAGAAAACACCTCTCTTGAAATCCACAAGAGATGATGAACAGCTTTCCCTAGAGACGGCACAACACACAATCCACTAAGAACTCCACTTAGTGATTCTTATCGCTTCTAGCCCACACCATGTTCCAAAAGCCCCCTTTCCTTGCAACAAACAGTTCTCTGGCACTCACAACACTTAACTTTTGTATGGAAAGAGTTGTTCTTCTTTTCTAAGTGCCAAAGGAGAGTTTAAGTAGGGAAATTAGGGTTTAAGAATTGGGGATTTCGAAACTAGGGTTCTTGGTAATTGGATTTTCGAAAATAGGGTTGGTTTGAAGTTTAAAATCATAAACAGACTGAAATAATCAATTAAATGGAGTTATAATCGATTAAAACAGAGCCAAAAACAACAAAACCCAATACCTCTCTGTTTTAATCGATTATTAGGTGAAATAATCGATTATCAGATGAAATAATCGATTATTTTGCTATTTAATCGATTAAAGCAGTGAGTTTATACAGAAAATGGTTTTCTCACTGTTTTAATCGATTATTTACCTATTTAATCGATTAAAGCCGAGCCTGGATGATAAATTTGAGCTTTTTGAAGCTTCTAAGTTACAGACTATGTACCGGCTATCTCAAACTCTAAAATTACAGACTCAATCAACTTAAAACAGAGTTATTACAAAACAAAATAAGTCTTCAATACTCTAAGTCTTTGAGTTCTTGAATCATTATCAAAATCAACAATCTTCATGTTCATCAAGTGCAACATCAAGTCCTTGAATGTTCAACAAGTTACTGAAGAATTACGAAGAGTTACTGACGAGTTATTGAAGAGTTACTAAAATTTATTAAGAGTTATTGTTACTAAGAGTTACTGAAGAATTACTAAGAGTTACTGGAGAGTTACTAAGTGTTACTAAAAGTTACTAAGATTTACTTAAGAGTTACTAAAAAGTTACTAAAAGTTACTAAAGAGTTACTTAAAAATTACTAACAGTTACTGAAGAGTTACTAAAAGTTACTAAGAGTTACTATAAAGTTACTAAAGAGTTACTAAGAGTTACTGAAGAGTTACTAAAAGTTACTAAGAGTTATTAAAGAGTTACTGAAAAGTTACTAAAAGTTACTGAAGGTTACTAAGAGTTACTCAAGAGTTACTAAAGAGTTACTAAGAGTTACTGAAAAGTTACTAAGAGTTACTGAAGAGTTACTATGAGTTACTGAAAAGTTATTAAAACTAACTAAAGAGTAACTGAAAAGTTACTAAAAGTTACTGAAGAGTTACTAAGAGTTACTTAGAGTTACTGAAGAGTTACTAAGAGTTAGTAAGAGTTATTGAAGAGGTTTACTAAAGAGTTACTAAAACGTACTGAAGAGTTACTAAGAGTTACTTAGAGTTACTGAAGAGTTACTAAGAGTTAGTAAGAGTTATTGAAGAGTTACTAAAGAGTTACTAAAACGTACTGAAGAGTTACTAAAGAGTTACTGAGAGTTACTAAAGAGTTACTAAAAGTTAGTGAAGAGTTATTAAAAGTTACTATGATTTACTAAAGAGTTAGTGAAAAGTTACTAAAAGTTATTGAAGAGTTTCGAAGAGTTACTAAGAGTTATTGAAAAGTTACTAAAGAGTTATTAAAAGCTACTAAAGAGTTACTAAAAGTTATTGAAGAGTTACTAAAGAGTAATTAAGAGTTACTGAAGAGTTACTAAAAGTTACTAAAGAGTTACTATGAGTTACTAAAAGTTACTGAAGAGTTATTAAAAGTTACTAAACGTTACTAAAGAGTTAGTGAAAAGTTACTCAAAGTTATTGAAGAGTTACTGAAGAGAGACTAAGAGTTACTAAGAGTTACTGAAGAGTTACTAAAGAGTTACTAAAAGCTACTAAAGAGTTACTCAAGAGTGACTAAGAGTTACTGAAGAGTTACTGAAATGTTACTAAAAGTTACTGAAGAGTTACTAAGAGTTACTGAAAAGATATTGAAAAGTTACTAAAAGTTACTGAAGAGTTACTGAAGAGTGAGTAAGAGTTACTAAGAGTTACTAGAGAGATACTAAAGAGTTACTAAAAGATACTAAAGTGTTTCTCAAGAGTGACTAAGAGTTACTGAAATGTTACTAAAAGTTATTGAAGATTTACTGAGAAGTTACTGAAAAGTTACTAAAAGTTACTGAAGTGTTATTGAAGAGTTACTGAAGAGTTACTAAGAGTTACTGAAGAATTACTGAAGAGTTACTAAGAGTTACTGAAGTGTTACTAAAAGGTTACTAAAGAGTTATTAAGAGTTATTGAAAAGTTACTGAAGAGTTAATAAAAGTTATAAAGAGTTACTAAAAATTACTGAAGAGTTACTAAGAGTTACTAAAACTTAATAAAAGTTACTGAAGGGTTACTGAAAAGTTACTGAATAATTACGAAGAGTTACTGATGATTTATTGAAGAGTTACTAAAAGTTATTAAGAGTTATTGTTACTAAGAGTTACTGAAGAATTAGTAAGAGTTACTAAAGAGTTACTAAGAGTTCTGAAGAGTTACTAAGAATTACAAAAGAGTTACTAAGAGTTACTATAAAGTTACTAAAGAGTTACTAAAAAGTTACTCAAAATTACTGAAAAGTTACTAAGAGTTACTGAAAAGTTACTAAGAGTTACTGAAAAGTTACTAAAAGTTACTAAAAAGTTACTAAAGAGTTACTAAAGTTACTAAGAGTTACTATAAAATTTCTGAAGAGTTACTAAGAGTTACTGAAGAGTTACAAAGAGTTACTAAAGAGTTACTAAAAGTTACTGAAAAGTAAATAAGAGTTACTAAGTGTTACTAAAGAGTTACTAAGACTTACTGAAGAGTTAATAAGAGTTACTGAAAAGTTATTGAAGAGTTACTAAGAGTTGCTAAAGAGTTACTAAAGAGTTACTAAGAGTTACTAAGAGTTACTGAAGAGTTACTAAGAGTTACTGAAGAGTTACTAAGAGTTATTGAAAAGTTACTAAAAGTAACTAAAGAGTAACTGAAAAGTTACTAAAAGTTACTTAAGAGTTACTTAGAGTTACTGAAGAGTTACTGAAGAGTTACTAAAGAGTTACTAAAAGGCACAGAAGAGTTACTAAAAAGTTACTAAAGAGTTACTAAAAGTTACTGAAGAGTTATTAAAAGTTACTAAGATTTACTAAAGAGTTAGTGAAAAGTTACTAAAAGTTATTGAACAGTAACGAAGAGTTATTGAAGAGTTACTAAAGATTTATTAAAAGCTACTAAAGAGTTACTAAAAGTTATTGAAGAGTTACTAAAGAGTTATTAAGAGTTACTGAAGAGTTACTAAAAGTTACTAAAAAGTTACTAAGGAGTTACTAAAAGTTACTGAAGAGTTATTAAAAGTTACTAAGAGTTACTAAAGAGTTAGTGAAAAGTTACTAAAAGTTATTGAAGAGTTACTGAAGAGTTACTAAAGAGTTACTAAAAACTACTAAAGAGTTACTCAAGAGTGACTAAGAGTTACTGAAGAGTTGCTGAAATGTTACTAAAAGTTACTGAAGAGGTACTAAGAGTTACTAAAAAGTTACTGAAAAGTTACGGAAAGTTACTGAAGAGTTACTGAAGAATTACTAAAAGTTATTGAAGAATTACTGAAGAGTTACTAAGAGTTACTGAAGTGTTACTAAAAAGATACTCAGGAGTTATTAAAAGTTAATGAAATGTTACTAAAGAGTTAATAAAAGTTACAAAGAGTTACTGAAAGTTACTGAAAAGTTACTAAAGAATTACTGAAGAGTTATTAAAAGTTAATAAGAGTTATTGAAGAGTTTCTAAGAGATACTGAAGCGTTAATGAAAAGTTACTGAAGAATTACGAAGAGTTACTGATGAGTTACTGAAGAGTTACTAAAAGTTATTAAGAGTTACTATTACTAAGAGTTACTGAAGAGTTACTCGAGAGTTACTAAGTGTTACTAAAAGTTACTAAGAGTTACTTAAGAGTTACTTAAAAGTTATTAAAAGTTACTGAAGAGTTACTTAAGAGTTACTGAAGAGTTACTAAAAGTTACTAAGAGTTACTATAAAGTTACTAAAGAGTTACTAAGAGTTACTGATGAGTTACTAAAAGTTACTAAGAGTTACTAAAGAGTTATTGAAAAGTTACTGAAGAGTTACTAAGAGTTACTGAAGAGTTATTGAGAGTTACTGAAAAGTGACTAAAAGTTACTAAAAGTTAATAAGAGTTACTAAAAAGTTACTGAAGAGTTACTGAA